TTTTTCTTCTGGTAATGATTTATTTTCTTGCTATGGGACCAGCCCAAACTCTTCTATAAAGGGGAGCCTGGATGGGGTCTCTAATTCACAGCAGGTTCTGTGGCATGATGGGCTAGAAATTGCTAGCCCCATTATACCCTTAAGAAAACAGGTGCTCAGAAAGGCCAAGTCACTTGTCACTTAAGGTCACCCATGGACAGAATCTGAAATCAAGCATGCTTTGGGGTTTCAGTTCCTGCTTGAAGCAAGACATACACCAATGGACACGGTACTTTTTGTAAGCTGGAAGTATAGGGTGGTTTTAAATCTAAACTTAATTTTACTTGGAGGGTCTTCTCTGAGTCATCTTTTGAATATCGTTCCATCTTGGGAGAGAAAAGGCAAAAAGATTTAAGTGATTGGGGACAGGTAGAGACCATGGAAGTACGGCAAGGGGGTCCTTTGCAACCCTCTAAATCTCATATTAGAGATCTGGGGAATCTTCAATTGACAACTTGCAGCTCAGAGATGCATCCAACGGGAGACGGCATCTTTCCTATTTCAAATTATAAGTTACTGCGGAGGGCGGGAGAGTAGTCGAGGCAGTGGGCTGCCCCTATAGGCAACTTCTTTGCCACTCCATCTGCTACCCCAAATGCTAAATCTTAGAAACAACACTGCTGTGAAAGATTAAAATATATTTTCTACGACTCAGATGACACCAAGTCTTTTGTAGATGCCAAAATAGCTGCTTTGAAAAGAGTTGAAGAAATATCAATTAGGAACTCAGTCGAAGACACAGAAAAATTTATGTATCCCTGCTGGTCGGTCTCCAAAACCAACTGAAAAAAAAAAGATTGTAATAATGAGAAAATGGAATATATAGAGGCAGGAGATAAGGTCTTTTTAATTTCTGTTATTTTCTGAAATTTGGGGATGACGATTAATAGAGACAGGTATACAAATGGGGAAGGAAGCTATTTTACTCTATTTGTAATTCATTTGGGATTTTAGGCTAAAATTTTAAGCCTAGAAGGGACTAGTGGGAAGCAAGCTTCAATATTTCGTTTCTGGTTTAAATTTTAGAAGACATTTACTAACTCTCCTTCATGGTAAATTTCAAAACAAAGAAAATTGTGTTAAAACAGGATAATGTGGAAAGTCTTGGAAATAGCACACTTCAAAGAAAATCCCTGAAGAGAAGAGGAATTACACACAAAAGGGAACGATTGAAGTTCAGAGGCGTTTTTCTTACGAGTTTCATAAATGCGATTTATAATTATGTGAATAATCACATAATTGTAGGAAACACATTTGAGAAAAATTGCCTTGCAATGCAAGGTAAGCTTTTTTTTTTTTTTTTTTTAAAGTCAAAGTGATGTGTTCTTTCCAATTTGGCAAAGTTCAGATTCTGATGAAGGGATTCTAAACCTGAGATAATCAATGAATCTTTCATGAGACACAGATTAATAAATTATTGCACATAATCCTGTTTCCGTTTTTAAGACTATTTTATCTACTATTTTTTTTTATATATTGGCTTCTGGCACTAAAAAAAAAAAGAAATTTGAAATAAAAATTAGTCAGAATAGAGTTAGGATATAGCCATGTCATTTAGAAAAGAAAAAGGCTTTCGTGATTTCTATTAATATCAATAACATGCTAACCTTATTTAATTACATAATATAAACACTATATAGATAAATTAACTTTAGTGTTTGGAGTCAGGGATGAGCATTTTCCTCTGTGTACAGTCATTTTATCATTTCCCCTCATCATTCTCATCCTTAAAGTGGGATTAATATAATAACATTTACCTTTAAGAAATGAAGTAACAATTTATGGTTTGCAGAAGGAAATAAATTGAGTCTTTTTTAGGCTTCTGAAGTTGGTAGTTGAAAGCCAAAAATGTATCTTCAGAAATCCAATAAAGACATAATAGCAGTCCCTTGAATTTAAATAATTTATATCTAGGTTTAAAATAGGATTTCAGGAAATGTTGATACTCCTGCTGGATTTCCAGATATCTAAAGCACTATAAAAAATTCCCTCAAAGGGTAAAAAAAAAAATAAAATAAAAAATGCTGTCAATATTGTGAAAAAGAAAAAAAAAAAGCCATACAAACAAACAAACCAACCCAAATCAACTTAGCTTATGGAAAGGGGAGTTTATGTACGACTCATTTCAATCTTTAAAAACGATACAAAAGGAATACATTCATTTATGAGATAGGATCACCAGGCCTGGGAAGGGAAGGGAGGGGCATCTTAAACTCTAAGCTACCAAGGCAATTTTTACAAGTTCTCTACAAGCAGGTGCCAAACTCGATTACCCTCTTGGGAATATGTCTCATGTAGCAGCTGAAAAGGGGGGAAGCTAAGAGAGGGAGGCTGGGGAATTGGATCTGTCTCTACCGATAACTTCCTCCCGCTCAGCCTTGCTTCTTTGGTAAGTCAAACTATCTCAGCCCAGGAAATCAAGAACACATTTCTAATTGCTAAAGGGATTCGGTGATGGGAGAAAAGAGCTTTTGACATAAAGGTAGAGAAATAGTGAAATTAAAAAAACAAAACAAACAAACAAAAACAAAAAAAAAACGTTATGTTTAAATTGCTGTAGACCAAAGAATATACTTGCCAGGCAAGAATAGGAATCATTAAGTCTGTGATCCAAAGTAAGGCGTTGTACCATCTCAAAGAGGGAAGCGTGGTCAAAGTTACAGGGGTTGGAAGAGATAAATTCATCCATGCCATGCTTTTGAGCTCTATCTGCGTCTGTTCATTTATACATGTAGAGAGAGACACAATTTAGAGAAACACATCACATTTTCTTTGACATTTCAAATACACAAGAATTCACTAGGCATCATGAACGTTAGCTGTTTCCCCGTTGCCGCCCACCAAGTCCCCGAGATATTTTACCTCCCATTGTCAACTTGCATCACTTACTGGTGAGTTTATTGCATTTAGGCAAAAATATATTGGCATCAACATGTTTATCAAATGATCACATTTCCAGTGCATTCATGTTGTTCTTTAAAAACTAAGCACAAGACCGGAACTTCGCCTGCATTTCACCAAACACTGAAAGCAGATCGGATCTTTGCTTATAATAATAGCCTGTTTAGCTTGGGAGGTTTTTTTTTTTTTAATAGATTCTGCCATTCCAGTGGTTATGTCTAGAGCAATTTCTCTGTAATGATTGGGATTATCTGGAAAAAGGGTTATGCTGATTTTCAGCAAAGTGACAATATTTGGATCCTCTTCTTCCAAATCCCCATTGCCAATTTAGTTTCGCAGAAGATTTGAGTCCCCACCCTCCAAAATTAAAAATAATAATAAAAAAAAGATTTTCATTGAAACCTGCAGATTGAGCTCAATGGGAATTTAGCTTGTGATAGTCAAGGATTTGCCTTACAGGGTGCTTACTCCGGGGCAAAGCTTATGGAAGAGACAAACCGAAATGTACTCAGCAAGGGCTATGATATGCCATTTATTGTGAATTAAATAGTTTCAACGTATTCACACTTTTCCTTCCAGGGTGAAGACTGGAGGCAAAACCTCCTAAGGGCTAACTAATTAGTCTCAACATGTGTAACTAAAATACTCTGTACTCAACTGGCAAAATAACTCAGAGATTTCAACTCGAGTGTGACGAAGCAGATCCTAAAGAGGTAGGAATGAAAATGCTTTTACAATAAAGGAATCGGCTCATTCCACCTCTTCTTTACTGGCTCTCTTGATATGCAGACTATGAAGAAAACTAATCTTCTATCGAATCGAGCAAGATTGTATTCATCCTCTTGCACGCAGTATTCTACTGGAATACAGGGACCTGCCAGGAACCAGAGATGCTGTCAGGGCGCAGGGAAAATCGATTTCTGACTCGGGAGTAGTTTGGACAATATTTTCATACGCAGCCTCGGGCCCAGAAGGATTTTTTTCCCCCTCTCTCCTGCTTGGGGTATGGCTGGAAGCTTGGGTTATGGTAACTCTGTGGGTTAAGAGGACGATGTCTCCTCCTATTATTATTGATTGTGTGTAGCATTCAAACCTAAATACGTGGCATGTCAGATTGATACCTTCTCATTCTTAGATTAAAAAAAAAAGACACACACACAAATGCTTCTGTCATTTTTCTCCTAGAAGCCGCAAGTGGTCAGCGTTTGAACAAGATGTGTTGTTTATGCCCAACATACCAGAAGGCAAGTGGAAGAATGTGTATTTTAACAGCGAAATCCGCTCCATTAGGAAAATAAAACACTAAGATTTTTGGAAAGGATAGCACATGCGTAGGAATTACATGAGCGCATCTGAGAGAATATCTTCTTTGCTGTTATCAACTGCTTTAAATTTGTTTTCCAGAAAGTACTTTCAACTGGAGGGTTAGGTGCTTCGCCCTGGGAAGATTCTTTCAGTTTTGGTGGTTTGATCTGCAGCCCACATTTCTTTCCCTTTCGGTGCACGGTTGCTAGAAGTTGGTTCTGAGAGCAAAGCTAGCTGCTTGCTTCTGGTGTGTGTGACTCCTCTGGACCAAGGCGAGTGCCTCAAACCTGCTCCAACTTCAGTCCCCCCTGGCATAATGACACTCGGGCGATGCAAATGGCACCTTTCCATCTCCAGTGACAGATTCTGCCCTCTCTACCTCCCTCCTGTCAGTCCCAGGTCAATTTAATTCAGGAAGAAAACCAAGCGTGGGGTAGACACAAATGGCTCATCCTGTCTCAAAACCCTCATCCGCCCCGTGCCTCTCGATTTTAACAGGCACACCAGGCTTTTTGGCTAGCACCAGCTCCTTGCTCCCGGATTTCTCCGAAGAAGCTGGAAGCTGACAACTCGTCCGGGGCCTTCTTTTGCCAGTCTGGCTCAGCTATTTCATTGCTCTTCAATTACGATGGTGCAACCGGTCATTTAACTCAGGGAGAAGGGGGCTCTTTTTTTTTTTTATAAGCGCTTAAAAATATGGGACACGTTTCAAGCCTCTTATTCTTTGTTTATTTGTTGAACCTCTTGAAGACTTTGCTGACGACCTGTTTTGCTTTGGGGCCACTCAGGAATCAGATCTGAATCAGAGCAGCGACTTGGCTGCTCTAAGGGGGACCTGAATGTAGACCCACTCCCCGCCTCCCTACCACCCCCCCCAATCCATCACAATAGCTCAGTGAATACAGCTCCACAGCGCTAATTCTGGGCTCAGAGTAAGCCTAAGGAACAATTTCATTTTCACTAACATTTGCAAAGCAGGCTGACGGGGAAAATAGGCTTAAAATCAGCCTGTTTTTCTTTTTCAACAAGTAACCCTGTAAAAATAAAACTTCCTTTCCCTTCTTCCTTTCTTTCCTCTTTCTCCCCATCCACATGTTAGCGGGAGCCTGGGATAGGATTTAAGAGGTGTGGATTATAGTCTGAGCTCCGTTTTTTTAAATAGCTGTAGGATGCTGGCTGGGCTCTCTCTCCTAGCTTCAGTTTCCCTATGTGTAAGAGGAGCTGGCTTTTCGGGTCCCTTTCTGCTGTCGTGGACTGTATTTGAATGATTCTTAAGATCGTTTGCACACCTATAACGTGTGGGCTGGAGCTTAAAGCAGTGAGAATTTCCAGCAAGTAAAGTGAGCAGCTCCTGGATTTTGTGTGCCCCAAATTATCATTTGCTCAGAATTAGGCTCAATTATTTTAATGGTTCTAACAACTCAAGAGTGCTTAAAAGAGTGGCTGGCTCCCATGAAATCTTTAAGCATCTCATTGAGCTTATTATATCCGGGGGGGGGGAAAAAAAAGTAGGAGAGAGAGGTCGGAAAATGCTATTTCAAGGTGTCAGTGAAAGAGAGCTGATTTTTAAGCTTCCATCCAAGCAGGAATTTTGGTATTTTTTTTTGTTGTTGTTTCTGCTATATTCCCAAGCATCTAGAATAGTACCTGGCACATGAGTAGGCACTCAATACATATCTGTTAAAAGAATGAATTTATATCATCAAAATAAAGAAATTTCACTCTACCAACAGATATTTTTATTTCCTAATTTTATGGAATATGGATGTCCTGAATTCACTGGGAACAGCGTGTTTGATGGGAGTTAGAGTAAGTAGGTAGTTTAGCCGGTGGGCTTAGTGGAGTCACAAAGACTGGGTTTGAGGTTAGCTCTGCCATTAGTAGGTATGTGATGTGAGGCAGGCTGCTTAACGTTTCTGAGTCTCCTTGTCCTCGTTGGTAAACTGAAGACAGCATTCAGATCTAGCTCAGAGGGCTGTTGGGAGGGTCTAATGCGAAGTGCCTGGGAAGGACTTGGCTACCTGGCACACACAGTTAGGGCTCAGTCGGTATTAGCTAGTAGTAAACAGGCAGGCTCCTTAGTGCTTGCAAAGCCCGTTTGTTTCAAGTTGTTAGTGAGCCAAGGAAGTCTCTGCCTTTATAGCTAATGTTCTATCCCTTCCTTGCTTCTGAAACCACATCGTTTCTAGCTGGGAGGCCTTCCCAGTCTCTCTGCTTTAATGCTTCTTTTCTGCCCCTGCAGGATCAGTTCCTATGTCCTGTCCACGTGGTTTTGCTAAGTTGTGTTCCAGTTTCTCTGTGGTCAGGACACGGACAGCCGATGGAATCCCCTGGTAGATAATGTGATCCTTGAGGGCAAGTTTCTGGTCTGTCACTTCCTCTGCCAGCTCCCAGAGGAGAGCCGGGTCCGTAGGAGGTGGCCATAAAACCGACTCACTCTGACACCTCCATCCCAGGAAACTTCCCATTGACTTTATTAAGGAGTCACACACATGGGGATTCAGATGGTGTCTTGCAAAAGTGGGAACATGTGCTCTTGGGGGGGGGAAATCTTATAGAAGGAAACAGAATTCTAGGTGCAGGTGTCTTTGGATACCATTCAGATTGTCTGCCTGTGTCTCCATACATGTCTAGAACCATATGCATTACATATGTTGTCTATTTTAAAATAAAACACTGCAGTGGTCCAGCTGTTCCAAATTCTGTTTCAAAGAACTTGTGGGTGCTTCCCAAGCAGCACCATACAGTCATTCTTGCACTGCCCTGGTCTGTTCTTCTGCGGTGCCGAACATTAAAAAAATAAATGTTCTTTGCAACTCCATTTCTCCCCCCTGTGCAAACAATTGCAATTGGTTGATTAAAGGGGGGGGGGGACAACTTAAATGTTGACATTAGCAGAAGGAAAACAGCCTAGAGCAAAGCATGAGAGAGTCAATTCCTAAATTCAGGACACTTTAGGAATCACTTCTTTTGCCAGTGTTTGGCATGTGCCAAGAGGATGAAAATGAATGTGAACATTAGGTTCAGCAAAATAGAATCAGGAGGGTAGAGTGGCTGCTTAAAACACCAGTGATGTCTGGCTTATCTCTTGTTTTGGGAGATGCACACTAATGCTCTTTTTTTCATTAACTGGTATTTTTTTCTTTTCCTTTTATCTAGAAATCAAAGATTGATGACATTTTAAGAACCAACTTCAACCATTGCCTTTGCCAGACCCAGCCTTAGAAAGCAGTTCCAAAGTCCTGCTTGGTCTGCAAGGCTACCGAATGCATTGAGATATTGCAAGTAGGCAATGCCATTTCTTGGGCTCTGCTGCTAGGGCATAAGTCAACACACCTTCCAAACAACGCTGGCTGTTCCACTTCTGGGGTTTAATTGCATAAGGATTTTTGCAGTCCTTTGTCGCATGGGCGTAGGAGACTGACTAACTTCACGCTAAACTTAGCTGAATAAAGCTTATATTGGCACCTAAACCACACTGAGAAATTCAAAGCACTATCAATGGTATT